TAATAAATAAATTTAACTTTGTAATTCAGTTTATATAACTCTTATAAATAATAGACAATGTTACAGTATTTATAATAATCTATATGAAAAAATTTAATATTTTTCGAACATTTTGTTAGGGTATGGAAAGTTCCAGTAATTTGCCTTAAATCACGATGCCATGCCCACTAGTTAAGAGTTTTATTAAACGATTATGATAGTATCAGTATGACAATATGCATAAATAATAATATGACCAAAAAAATAAATTCTAGTTATTCATTATTTAATAAAAATACTTGTATAAAGCGATAAAAATCATTAATCGATGTTCGAATTATAATTGCATTTGTCGAGATGAAAATATCGAGATATTTCTGCGAGCGTTCCGCGTCCCGTGCGTTAACATGAAGCTCTTTGCATCGCGCGCAGCAAATACGCCCTAAGCTTCATTATTGATCCGCCGGCTCTACGCGATACTATTACAAACAGCAAAATGATATCTGCGAACATTTTGCAAAACGAACAACACGAAATGGTTTTAAATTGAACTAATTATCTCAATTTAAAAGATACAAATTGAATTATTTGTACAATAAACTTATACACAATACATGTAAACCTCGTCCAACACGGTAAATACGTTCCAAAAAACTAGTGTTCCAATAATTCAAAAAACATGCTACATATCATGATTTTTTAATAAATATTGTTATATTTATTATTTTTTTTAAAAAGTAATATACATTATAGAAATAATATGACTTAGCCATAATTAACAGATAAGCGCTATTCAACAGGATTTTTTCATTTTCTGATCGGTTTTCTGTACTTACTACCCTCAGATCTGCACTTTTTTTCGCAAAAAAAAATGTATTTGCGATTTCTTGCTTTTAGCGAAATATTTTTTATATACTTACAACATGCAAAGTTATCTTCATTGAAATTTTATGCTCATTTTATTTAAAGGATCTTTGTTTAGAACTAATTGACTGATTGTTTGCAAAAGCCTAGAAGTTTTTTAATAGAACGTACGCACTAGAATAATAAATATTAAATTAGTTATGATTTGCATTAGTTTCATTATATTTATTGAGCTATTGTACGGCGATTTTACAAATTTTAAATTAAATAATGTTAGATTTTTATAAATTTTACTATTTTTTTATATATTAAGGCTTTGCTCAATTCTCAAACCGTGTTAGAGCAAACGCGTGCTTTAAAAGTACCGTGTTATAAAGGGGATGGTCTCAATTCTTAAACCGTGTTAGAGCGAATCCGTGTTATAGAAGTGCGGTGTTATGCGGGGGTTACCTGTATACTTATTCGATTATCAAGTATAATTTAAAATCAAAGTTACCTACTTAAGTAGCTGAATGCACTGTGTGTATAGTTTTCTATGTAAAATTAAAAAAAATAATAATAAAAAAATAACTCCATGTGGGATATCCTATTTATTCGACAACAAAACAAACTAGATGTTAATATCATTTAGGGAAAGTTACTAAAACTTTGCGATATGTGCAACTAATCAATAACAATTGAGATCAATAAGAAAGGTTTTTGAAAATTTAAAATCGATCCAGGGCTTTTTGCGCAAACCTTTGGACAAAAAATTAAAATCTATGGATAATATAATTTTAAATATTTAAATTAAAATTTAAATATTTAAAGGAAAAAAGTGAATGCTTTATTTGAATGTTAAAGTTGAATATTATTACAATTACTTTTCTGGCCATTTTCATCCAAAATATGGCAAAACAACTATCTGTATGATTAAATAATAGTAACAAACACTCACAAAAAGAAATTATTTAATTTTTTTTATTTTTTAAACAACATTCAAATATATTTTACTCTTACTCTGCTGAACCTTTTCCTCTGATACTTATCCTTTTACTGAAGTCAATCGAATGAATGCTCATTTGATACATTTTTTATTAGAGGACAGCCCAATGGTTAACCCTTTTCAAATACTATTTCCACTTGAAAACATTTTATGATACACATATATTGAAAATGATTATTACTACTGCTTGGTATTAAGTAGTACGACACTGTCTAATAAATGAATGAAATGAAAAAAAAATGAAGAAAATAATAAATAAATGAATAAAAGATGTTGTCAATAGCGATGATATATTTTGTAAACTTTTAAAAGTAGTGAATAAATATACAAATCGTATGAGAGATATTATTACAACCATGAGTTTGAATTCTATAATCTATATGACATGATATAAGGACTATCGACTACCGATCTATGCACTATGATTACATTTATCGATATTACAAAATATTACAGATTGTTTTAGTTTGAAGAAAAATATTGTATTTATAATACAATCAACATGCTATTTTATTTGATATATTCTGGGTAGTATCACTACCAATATATAAACAGACAAAAACTCTTTAAAGCGGTTTTGAAACTGATTTTTTTAGAAACTATGCAAAAGTTATATTATTTTTTTCGTAGATTGTTTTCATTACAATTTTTCAATCAGAAATAGATATAAAATGATTATTATAAATTCGTACGATGATATGAAATTACATTTCTCTTGTCAAAATATGGACTACAACTAATCTACGAGGATTGATCCCAATTTCCATATCAAAGTCTTTTTTGAAAAACTTACTTTGAATCTAAAAATGTCTAAAACACGTAGAAAAATTGATCTTTTATGTCAAACTAATTCGAATTTGAAAGTATTATTCAGTGATTGTATGAAATTATAGAAAATATAGTGTTGCATTTTACTTAAAACTATAGTTTTCAGTCTAAGTTATTGTTACAATACAAATCACATGGATTGAGCATTTTTGTGGTAGTACAATGTTTTCATAAGCGTTGTAACAGATTTGAAATAACCAATGTAATTAACAAGATAATCTTAAATCTTTAAAAACAACTTATAATATAAATTGCAAAGTAAGAAATAGTTTTGTTTCTATATAGATTTAAAATTTAATAACTTTAATTAATTTAATTTAAATTTTATCTGTGGGTAAGAGTAATAGAAAATTAACTTGAACAAAACTTATCAAAGCCAATTTTACAAATAATAATTTTTAACATTTTAAGCCTAAGATTGGATTTTAATGTATTTAATCCAAATATATTAAAGAAAGTTCGATATTCGACTGCCATTTGTTAATCAATAAAAACTTCCATTGCATGTTTTGTTTTAAGAAGTAATAATAAAAAAATAATTGAACGAATCTTGAATAATGAAGAAGCAAATGATAATAAAAACAATAAAAAATAATCATAAATAAATTTATATATATTCAAATCCGTGCCAACTTCTACTTTGACTTCTCTAACAAATATAACATCTGGTATTTTAACATTTACACAATAAGCAGACAAATTTTAATACCTACTATAAAACATACAATACATATATTATAAATATTTTAAACTTTTTTCAATACGTTATAAAAATCTAAAACAAAATATACATGATATCCTATTCTAGTATTTTATAAAAATTCTAGTACTAATTTGGTTATACTAGATCAGCAATCATAAGCTAAATTGATATAGAAGATATATAAAATTGAAAGTTTTATTTAATACCTTTTCAACATAGAAGTTTTTAAAAAAAATTCTATGAAAATTGATTTAAAGTAATTCTGCCTTCGATATCTGTTTAATGCTATATGCACTCTATTGTTCCATTTTTAATGTTAGAAATAATTGTTAGTAAAAAATGATAACATCAAAGAATTTAATTATCATTTAATCTTTTTACATCAATTTAGCATATAATAGTTCTAATAATTAGTGGTTATTTGTTAATATAAACCCTGAGTATTTAACATTTTATATTTCGATCAGACTAGTTCTAGTTAGAAAAAAAAGCAATTTATGAAGAGAAGATAAAAAAGAAGAATATTACAAATAAATACAATGTACAATGATAACAAATTCATTTTCTACAATTAAATATTAAATATATAAATATTTTATAATCTCTAATTGTTATTAATATATACACATAATAAATAACTTTTTATAAAATATGGAGGAATACTAACAAACACAATATCGTTTGGTTAAATGCAAAATGGAATATACAGTTTTACTTATATTTTAATACTTTAAAAAGCAATGAATTATCGCTAAATATAATAATTATATTTTTCAACATATCGCAAACGTGTTGATATTTATAGAAAATTTAATAAATATTGTTTATTAAATAATGTATTAATTTTGAAGTTGATATTCTTTTTCATAATTGCAACAGTTCAACAAAATCTATTAGTTATATGCATAAATTAATTAATTTAAATAAATAATATAATTAATACAACTTTATAATACATGTTTATGTAGCGAAATCTCTAATACAAAAACTTGTTTATTATTTTGGTGTAATTAAAATGATTTTGAATCGTTAAAATTCTTCAGCCTAATGAAAATTATGTTCAAGTATTCAATTTTCAATCTGGACATTTGGGCATTCAATATTTAGTAGGAATAACTATTATCTTTCATAATTTTATTCAATATTCTTCTTGAAACTATCGATTTTTTCAAATGGTGTATGATATTTATAGCCATACTATTATTATGGTATGATTCGTTCAGAATTTATGAATTTTCATGTATAGAAACGTAAATGCACTAATTTGGTGTTACTTTCTTTATTTTTGAAAAAATCATAACTAAGCTTTTAAAATAGATATAACACATCAGTAAATTGCTAATCAAAATCCCTAACTGATGATATCAAGAAACATAAATTGTAAGAAACTTATTCTCACAATACCATATATCAAACTTGGTGTGATCTACAATTCACATACATACTTATACAATCGTTAATATCACACTTTAAACGGTAATGTTATAATCTTACATAAATGGGCTCGAAATCATAAATTAATTTTTCTATTTTCAAATGTGCTTCGTATACCTATTTTAAAGATTATTGTATAGTCATGTTTACAATATTATGAGAAACGCAACATGGCAGATGACCAATTGAATCCCCCAGATCGCTGTGAAATCAGTCGCAAATATAGCTATTATTTATTTAACAAACTATTCCTACATATATGCAGGTTTCATCTTATAAGCCCGTTTCCAAATCTCGCACAAGCACACCGTACTATGGAATCTATAAAAAATAGCCAAAGGCATCGAAACATGGGTTATGATTGTCCAGGCCCACAATCCATAAAAGTGCAACTGAATAGGATGACTTTCAGCCCTGGATTTCTCCAAAGTATTTATAGCCCACATAGCTAAATTCGTCACCAGTAAGAAAGTCACAATTTCTCTTCCTGGCTTCCTGCGCATATGCTCAGGAGTTGCTGCTGATCGTCTACTGGCGTCCAACACGAACATAGTTTGACAAGCAGTTTGAAGCAGTGATGCTAAAGCTGTAATAAGAACGAGTACCGTGTCTCTTTGCATTGTAAAATGACCACCGATCACAGTGAAGGTACTGTAAAGAAAGGAGCCTGTTTGGGCGCCTACTAAGAGAATATCATCGAGTTCTAAACTGCGAGCAGAGTCATATCGCAGCGGTCGAACCTAATACAAAAAACAATAAGATAAAATCATATGATAAAATTGCAACATTAATTATACATAATTTTATGGTACAAGATCTGACCTGGACCATTCCCAGCAAAGTTGCTGCAGTGGCCATCGCATACAAAGTCAGCTCACAGATATTGACTTCTGTCACAGCCAAACTAACAAATTCTGGACGAGATATGAGTACGAAGAATAATATCAATGAGATTATTGTCAGAACTAGGATTAAAATTCCAACGAAGAGCCCTTTGTGAGCACGCGCGCAATCCACTGAGTAATGATGCGGAGATCTAAAAAATTACATATTCAAAAACAGTTATTTGACGAGAATATTCATATTCTTGTACATGAATGTAACAGATGAGCAATCTTCATAGAGAAGTGTTTAAGTAATACAAACCTTTTACAAGACGGTGGACCTTCTTGAATCACCATAGTCGGCTCTATGGGTCTTGATATGTTCTTCCACATTACATATAATATGGCAGCACATATCAACGAATATTCAATTGTACAGGGAAAAAGAAAAGGCGATGCATCCTGAACTAAAGAGCCCATAATATTTGTTCTCCGGCATTCGTAAATGTTATGAGGTCCTTTTAAGCCTCTGGCAAATCTTGTATGTTCTCCATGATGATCAATATGAGGAACAACATGACTACCTTTATCACCTAAATAAAGGATTTAAATTAAAATTAGGATTTATTAAATACAATTACGCAATATAATTATATATACATTAAAAATTACCCAATCTGTGAGATATTCTCAACGTTCTATTTTCTGGATTGTAGAAAGTTAATATTTCGTGCTTTGTTTCCTGAACAAGTACGTTCAGCCAAACCGATAAATTCGTCCCGATCATATGCATCAGTCCGAACCGTGCCATGATTTTATGACGATATACTTTTATTTGCTAAAATTAAAAAACGTTAATTATCTATCCTAATCATAAACGAGCTGCGATTTTTTAAAAAGTCAATTACCTCATTGTTAAGAAATATAAAATACATTTGTATAAATATGAATGCCATCCTTGTGGCTGGGGTGAGTGCTAGCAGAACGTTATGGCACTTTGTATCTCTTTCCAATTCAAAATATTGCCCAAATTCTAATCCAGAGTATATCATGCTTCCTATTCCAAAAGCTGAAAGACAAATAATATTGATCATAACTTGTTAGTTAAAAAATTATTTATCAGTATGACATCATTTTTTTTAAATAGTACTAAAAATGTTTAAGCGTAATATCGCACATGATTCTACATAGACAAAAAAGACTAATTAACCAAAGACATCTCCATTAGCTTACGTTCTAAGTCCTTAACTTATAAATAGAATTAAAAAAACAAAGGGTATAAAATGTGATGTTTTTGCTTTGACATTTACTCACCAACGGCACCCATGCGCAGATAAAAGCTTCCGTAATGCTGCCTTCGCACGCCGACAGTTGTGGACATTATTGACGCTCGTCGGGCGCCTGGAGATATCCCTGGAATAGGGCCAGGACCTGGACAAGGGCCTGAACTCTGGGATGAGATCGACTCGCGACCTCCACTATCAGATTCTTCATCGTCTGACGAAGAACCACGTTGTGCACGTTTTTCGCTCTTGTCACGCTCTATGAAAAAAAAAAATTTTAATAACGTTAATCGCCAACTAGTCAGATTTAATTCTTTAAGTCTCCAATAAATCATTCATTTTCTAAAGTGCTACAAACTCTCCCTATATTAAAAATTAAAATTTCTAAAAATAAATTGTTATGCGTCCCAACTTACTTGATGCTGATTTGCTTCCCTTTGGTTTCCCGCATAACAGTGTAATGTACATAAACATTAAGAAGACCATGCTTCCGATATACAGATACAAATAAAACCCCTAAAACAAAATTGTCATATAATTCAAGAATATTTCCAATTTAAGATTAAACGACTAAATAACTAACTTCATAAAACGAAGGTGGTATGTATGTAGAAATAACTTCGGCCATTGGAAAGGCTATTCCCATCACCACTAATAATTTGCCATATAACGCAGATAAAGTCGTCGCCAATGCATCGCCACTAAAAAGATAGATAAAATTTGAACAACCGTTAGTAATGTTTTAACTCATAAAATAAAATATTAAAGGATATAAAAAGATAAAATTTCAGACACATGATGTTCAGCCAATCCACACAAACCGTACATTGTGCTATTTATTATTACTTTGAACTATATGCCACACAACGACAAATATATCTAATTAATTCACAAAATATTTCATCATATATTAGATATTAATAAATAAGAAAGTTCAAGAAGTATTTTAATAAAATACAATTTTCAGAAAACAAAAAATCACTTTTTCAGTTTTTACTAATTTGTGAAAGTTAAAAACTTTACGTACGGTCTTATTTCTCTGATTGGCGTCAACCTAGGCTCTGGTAATCTGCTAGCTCTTCGTGCTGGTGGCAACTGGCCCAAATGATGATGATGATGGTGAGAATGGTACATCACAGATAAAGGAGCAGGTTGAATTCTGAAACACGACAATATTAAAAATCAAATATTAATTTAAAACTATTATGAAATTATTTATTTAAACTCAATAATGGTATGAAGTTTTGGATGTCGGACGAAGAGAACGTAGCACTTATAATAGTTACAGAAAATTCAACTTTTTGATTTTGAAGCTAAATCAGACCAGATGGTATTTTTAAAAGTTTTGGATTTTGTTCACTATTGTTATGTGTTATTGAGAAAAATCCAGAACAAACAATCAACTTACTTGACAGGCTCTATTGTAACTCTTTGCGCTCTCCGCGCTGGTGAAGAATGCTGGCTTAACGTTTCAGGAGACACCAGAGCGGCCACAACTGCTGAAGGAGAAGGCACCAGAGCAGAAGATGACGCTCTTGGAAAATTGCTAAAAATATTTTGATCACATTGAAATAATTATAATTGAAAAAAAAATTACAATTGTTTATAATAACATTTTGATAGCGGAAAATTATTAATTTGCTGTATTAACCCTTTCCACTCAGATGCCGCCGCTCCGGCAGCAAAATTCATATGAATCTCGGAATTAGCGAGTGGAATGGGTTAAGAATGCTATAACACAGGGTGGTTTTGTATCTGTCTTGACATTGATGTATCAAAATGAAAGTATATAATAAAAATTAGATAAACTCTAATAATAAAATGTAGATATAGGCCAAGTATAGAGTTGACTAGGCTCTGGAAATCTGCTAGCTCTTTGTGCTGGTGGCAACTGGCCCAAATGATGATGATGATGGTGAGAATGGTACATCACAGATAAAGGAGCAGGTTGATATGGCATGGTTGACGTAGTAAAGAGGTGTCATCACAACAGATCATAGGACTCTTAAGTTCTGATTGCTGTTTGAAATGCATCCTATCTCATAAATTAATATATAAACCAGTATAATAAACCAATGCACACAGTAAAAGTGTGAATTTATTGAAAAAAAAACATAGTGGTGCAGAAGCCACAAAGTGCACTGCATCTTAGTTTTATTGTCCTGCTCTATATTCCTTCTTTAACAAACCTTTGTACTTAAGTGTTACCATTTCCATGACGGCTTTATAGCATAATATAATTTTAAGTGTGCAATAAAAAATCACCGTCAATTTATTTGAGTCAATGACAGACATGCGGTGAACAGCTGATGTATATAGGAAGGCGTCAATCAACACGATGGATGGAACAAATTTGAATAAACGCGTCCTTCATCTGAAAACTGTGATTGATGACAGCCAACTGATATGTTTGGTCTTATCGAAGTTAATGAATATTGTTAATTGTTCCATTTCTTTTTAAAAATTATTTTCAAAAAAAAAAATGGAATAGGGTCAGGACCAGGACAAGGCTTTTTCAAAGCAAAAAGGTGTTTGCTTGAAAATTTATCCAGAAGCTTTGGTAAAAAACAATGCTCTCACTATGAACATGTTTCTAAATATAAAAACCAAAAGCGATATTAGTGCAGTAAACGGAGCGTTTAGGGTCTGAATTTTTTTACTGTGCTCCGAATTGAATGAAATTTTGGAATTAGGTTCATCTTAACCTCAAGTTCAAAAGTGAAAACAAATCCACCACCCCCCGGGGGGATGACACCCCTTCACAAATGTGTAATTACATTTTTTCAAAATAACGTCGGAAATCGATAGAAGAACTAATTACAAGAAAAAATGTCTCTTATAGTTTTTCAAAAAAACTGATACTTTTCAAGTTACTGGTCACTAAAAATTGATATATTTTTAGCGTTTTTCTTCGCTTTTTTGCAAATATCTCCTAAAATATACATTTTAACGAAAATCATGTAATGAACACAATAATATCAATAAAAATTTTAATAAATCGGTGTTTTATAAAGTGTTTTAGCAATAATATTAAGCAAGATTTGAAAGAGCAAAGATGTTTTTTATTTCATTCAAGATTTAATTGTTGTATTTAAAGCCATCTAGTGGCGAGGTTTTAAATTTTATGCATTTCGGTAAAATTGAGTTTTATAGTGCTCAACATAAGCTTTAAAATGAGTGTTGGTACAAGTTTTTTGCGTGCAAAATGAGTGAGCTATCATGCAAATAAGAAGCATATACGATGTTTTTTTCTTTTAAATCATATGGTTTGATGAGCGCCATTTTCACCAGAATTAAAGTAATTCGCACAGACCACAAAATTTTGTATTATTATGTTGATCATGAAATGTATTTATCTTAATGGTACAGAATTTTTGCAGGCCATTTATTCTTATAATAAAGTATCTTATGGCTGAAAAGTCAACATGTTAAATAAATTAATATAGTTTTATATCACTATAGTCAAATAAAAGTTTAATAATTGCAGTACAAAGAACAACAAATATACGAGTTTAGACAAAATTATACTGGGTACTAGTGTCATAATAACTGTTTTTATTTAAGGGTTGTTTTAAAAGTTGAACAAATTATGGATAATATAATTATTTTCGAGAAATTGAAATAACATTCATATCATTTGAAATTTCTTAATTTTCTTTCAATTTAAAAATATTTTTTTCAAACAATTTTTTATCAAGGGGTTGTTTTTGAAATCAAGATAGAAAACATAAAATATCATTTACTTTATACGTAATTCTTATTATATCATACCAAAATTTATTTTTAAGTGTTTTTTTTTTTCAATTTAGAGGTTTTTTGAAGGGTTTTAGGGTTTTCACGGGGTTGAAAATATAATATATAGGGTTTGAATTAAAATTTACTATATACCTTCGGAAAAGAATTCATAATACCCACCAATAAGATTCATTTACTTTGAGGTTCCTTAATCATCAAATATTAACAAGTGACTCCAAATACAAATTATCTAATTATGATAATCATTTAATCCAAAACAATTTCACATACCTTTCCTTATTCGGGCAGGTAGGAGAGTGCATAGTTTCCTGAACAGTAGCCAAAGTTCCAGTGCCGGAAGTTGTAGCTACTTCTTCTATATCAGAGTCAATACCTTGAGCGAAGTCCATATAAAATGAATCTCTAGAGTCACTTGACCCCCGGCGGAGCTTCAATGATAAATCGGGAGAACTATCCATAATGTTTTATGTCTTGTAGCCGGTGAGTTAAGAATTATATTTTATTTTAAAATTGGTGTATTTTTTGTAGTATGTTTAGGCATCTTTGATGGCAGTGATTTGGTAACAAAGTTTCATTGCGATTAATAATAATTATCGGTTATTAATACAAAAAATTAACTATAACATAACAAATTTAAATAAAGCATTTTTATTTTAATATTTAACTCATGTTTAAATTGCTAAAGACTTTTATAAGAATAATTTAATTTACAATATTGCTAATAATAAATAAATTTAATATCGTATACAATGGAAAAATTATTAATAATATATTAATTTAGTTTTGTTACAACAAATTTCAAAACAAAATATTTTAACGAAGATTTTTTGGCACAAAGTTGTTGGTGACGATTGTTTGTTAATGGAGTTCAGCACAATCTGAAATAAAATGAAAAAAGCATTATAAAAATGCAACTTACTCAATTGTTAATTTTAAGCTTACGAATTTATCTCTTTTTAGTGCACTTGCTAAACTGAATTTTTAATTTGACTATTGGGCTTATGTTCGCATATTAGAAACGTGAGGAAATTTACTATTTGAAACTAATAAACAAACTGTACTTAGTTGAAACAGATACTATAGGGGGCGTCCATTAATCACGTGAGCTTTTTGAGGGGAGGGAGGTTTGACTAAAAATCACGAAATATCACGTGGGGGAGGGAGGGGTAGAGTAAGATATCACGTGTATTTATTTTTTAACTAATTTTTTAAAAAAAAGTTCAAACATTTTCAAAAAAAATAAAAAAATTTACGATATTTTCTCGTAACTAAAAATACACGTGATGTTTGGTAGGGGAGGAGGGGTAATTTTGAATATTACCATGTATCACCAAGAGGGAGAGGGGAATTCCAAAAATCCTTAAAAATTCGCTCACGTGATTAATGGGCACCTCCTAAAGTGCTTTGTAATAGTCATACTTACTATATCTAATTCGTTCGAAACAATTTAAAAAATGAAAGTATTAGGCCAATATATTAAAAATTCCACGAATAAGACTTACTAATAAACATCATAATTTTATAAATTTCACATAATCTTCTATATTTCATAAAATTTTTTTATAATATTTTATAAAAAGAGCACAACCTTATGTTTTCAAACTATATTTAAATAAATTTATTATGACCCACATTTTTTATAAATCACTAAAGCAATATATCAAAATTTTGACATGCATTTTAAAAATAGATTGAAATTTAACCGATTGGTGGGTAGACTGCACAATATAACTGAAGGGAAGACTGCCATATACGTATTATAAGACTTCTCTAATTGATTTTGACATGTGTTAGGCATGTTTACTAAAAGAAACCAGATTTAATTTAAAAATGGTGGTACATAATATTGGGTCTAATTTTATCGAATTAGTGACATTTCTATTTGTCAATTAATATTATGCAAATGATTACCAGGCTTCAAACGTATAAAACGTTTCTTCAAACGTTTTCTTCAAACGTCAAATATAAGAGAAATAAAATCATCGCATGCAAATTCGAATGGTAAAATTCACACCTTTATTTGTTATTGATATATAATTCATCCCAATTTAAATTGAACTCTGATGTCAATATTTTCTAGATTTTATTTATTTTTGTCTTTTAGGCTAAAAATCTCGTTTTTTTGTGATTTGTGCCTCTCAAATAAATCTTATAAAGTTACAACTGCAATAATTGAAATCATACTTGATGACTAAATATTTTAGTCAAAGGTAAAAAAAAGAGTGCGCGTAAGGTTCACACGCGATTGAAGTAAAACTTATTTGCTACTGTACCAGATGGCATCTAAGTAAAAATAAATACATCATATGACAATTTTGAATAATGTTTATTAGTAATATAGTAACACTCGTGATGCATACATTTATTAGTGTCAACCATTATACACATTTATATAATGTGTATAAGTATGGCTTTATTCTTCAAAAACGACATGATCGGTTTGTCATTGTAATTAGCATTTAGAAATGAACCTTCATTAGAGAAATAAAGTAATTGCTGATTAATAACTTTTATAATATTTGTTTACACAGTGGATTGTGTTAAACAACGCCTAAACAAATATTGTTCTCACAATTTCACTCATCATCATATAATATTTGTGTTTGAAGAACTTCATGTAATTAAAATTAACATGAAATCATTGACTGCTTGTATTTTTTTTTACTTTTTCGCTGGCGATATAATCACATTTTTTGAACAGCTGTAATATCTGTCTTGCCTAAAAAATATTTTCCCTTTTAATGACTTCAAAGATTTATAGAAACTACGAATAATAATTAGAAATAATTTCTAATCAATAAACTTACGTTTAGGACAAATAATTAATTTGTTTTATTATTTTCAAAGTACAGGGTAAAATATTCTTCCTATTTAGGCATTTTTCATTAAATCAAGATTTGTACTACGTTATAATTTTAAGATGTTTATTTATCTATCTATGTCAAGTTCCTTGTTGATATCGGCATGCATACAACGTTGATGCCGGTACGCATACAACGACAGATCTCTATTCACATACACGACGACTAATCACAATCGACTCGTATAAAAATAATATCATCGAAAGCGAATGGCGAATCATTGGCACTCGACTCTTATCTTATCTGTCGTAACGCACTTCCGTTGCATTTGTACGGATTTACACCCTAGTTGCGCCTAAAGAAGTTTTACTTCAAAAATCTTCACAATTTTATTTTTTAAGCTTTCAAAACTCATAGTAAGTATAAATTTTAAAAATAGAACGACTGTCAATTATTTTCTTTAAATAGATTTTATGAGTTATCCCATTATCTTCAGTATGAGCTATACAGAATAAATCACTTGCAGGTGTAATTGGTTCGGTCTCATGTTAAGTGTTTTAATCTATAGGCGCCGTTTTAATAAAGTGTTTTGGTTGTAAACTTATCAACATGTGGATTTATTATTATGTTCAGTTTGAGTTGAATGTGTGGTGACAGACTTATATTAAATTCAAAAGAATCTTCAACAATATAACTCATAGAAGATCTTTCTTCCAGACACTTGGTAAAAAAATTCTAACTGTAAATTTAATCCATGTAATCATTCTTTCATTATCCATTTGTTGAATTGCCTTGGTTGGGTTACATTTTGAAACTAGACACACTAATTAAAGTTTAATATATCTCCAATATAACTAATTATACTAGTAAATCATGAGATAAAAATTGAAATCATAATTTAGGAAACTTCGAATTCAAATTAATTCAATTGAGAAAAAGAAAGGTAATAATCGAAGACCTTTTCTAGGTTTCCACCACAATATTCAATACAGATTTTAGGATTTGAAGCCTGAGCTCGTTCATAAAAGCTCTCCTTGCAAACTTGCAAGTAAATAGTACTTCTTTGTGATTTCTGCTATAAAGTATTAATATTTATTTATTTATTTATTTATTTTACAAGCCGTCGGTGTAATATTATAATAAGGCTCAAGTCAATATTTTGCAGATTTAATATAATTTAATTAACTATTAGGTATTTTATTACTTATTTATTTATTATTTAATTTATTTACTATAAACTTATTTATATTTTGTTATTTTTTTTTATTTTTATATATAACTAGTTTGTTTGTCGCAAGTATTTTTTAAAAATTGAATAAGTATTTTAACAAGCTTTACAATACTTTAATTTATAATATAATTATTTTATTTAACAAATTTTAGGTTATTTTATGATATTTGAACAAATTTAAGTGTATTATATTATTATTATTATTATTATTATCATTATCATTATCATTATTATTATTATTATTAAATTTTCTACAATATAAGTATTTTCTTTTACGAATTTTTAGGTATTTTCAAGAAAGAAATATTAAGTTTTACAATTTTTCAAGTCTTTTTAAATTATAAGTTTTTAGTTAACTAATTAATAAGTATTTTAACAATAACAGTCATATAAAAATAATAATTATAAAAATAATAATAATAATAGTAATTTAGAAGTATTTTTGCAACAGTAAGTATTATAATAATAAAGAACACAAATATTATATTTATAATTATGATTTAAATTGCATAGAAAATTATAAATTACAATGTTCCTTCGAAATAAGAAGTATTCAAATAATAGCCTCCAAGATTATTGCTTAAATCTAACCTCTAAGACCCTCAAGACTGTCGAAGAAGAGCTGTTTCTAAAATACTGTTTCCGAAAATAAATGTTATAATTGATATGTTATAATAAGTGAAATAATGTTAAAAAATGAATGAATAATAATTATTTATTTTATATATTTTTCATAATATTGCATATCATTTTGTAGTTTGATAATTAAATATTATTAGGAGGGCCCAACATTTTTTTATTAATACGGGGTGGCTAGGTACTAAAAATTTCTCTGGCTCAAATGATATTCAGGTTTCTTCACCGAGAAATTTTAATTCAATCTTTTATTCAATTCTTAAATCTTTTTTCTGAATGGTCACGAACAACTGATTCAGATAATAACAATGTATTCATCGCATGATTTTTTTCTATCGTATTCTTCATTATGTATTTTTTTAATTAATTCGTATTATATAATTGTATGCTACATTCAATTGCTAATGAGAATAAACATATTCAAGTCGTGTATACCTCATAAATTTAATTTACATCCCACTAATTAATAATGGCTCGAGATGTTAATGTTCACTTAAGGATAAACATATAAAGTTAAAGACCACTCGTTCGACCATTCTTAAATAGGAGTAATTAATGTAGTGAAATATTATAGCATGGGAATTCGAACGCCTTTGAATATTTATTTTAAATCTTAGATTTGGACTCACAGTCAATTTTACTATGTTTCATTCATGAATTTGTCTAACTCTATACAATATAAAATATAAATACAATTTAAAAAAAATTTTTTTTGAAGCAGAATCTGCAGTTTACTTCTGCAGAGAGCTTTTCAAGTATATTAAGTATCTCAAAAATAGTACGAGAACTT